GCAGAACAGACATGTGACAGGACATTTCCGTGGCACAGGACCAGTGGGCTAATGACATCAATAAAGATGGCGCCTGCCACAGATAGAGAGCAGTTGCCCTTCATCGAGAGAGTGCATGTGCCTGCCTCTATATAATTTCCCACTTTGCAGAGGAGGAAGCTGGGACGCAAGGATGTTAGGTGACTTCTCTAGGGTCACGCAGCTACAAATGCTGGAAGAGTGTAGAAATCCAGCAAGCCTGGCTTCCACTCCCATGCTCAAGAGTAGCTGAAAAATGTAGCATGTAATGGGGAAGGTCAAAGGCAAGGATTAGGTTTGGAAATAGTGTCAAAGGTGGAGGTGGAGGTGGGGTGGGGGCTTTACCACAGCTGGGGAGGCTGGGTTGAGTCAATGTTCTCGCAGCATCTATAACTAGAGTTAACTGGGAAAGTTCAGCAGCCTGGGAAATCCTACCTAACCACAGACATTTATTAAAGATTTCAATTTCACTGCAAATATTTTAAGTGCATTTGGTTGTCTATCTTTTGTAGAGGACTAAAACCTTCACTGGGGTGAAGTTCTAGGTGGGCCAGCAGGTGGCGTCATGGTTGCGTGCTGGACTCCCGTATGGCTGACCTCAGTTTGAGCCCTGGACCTGTTGGCTTGATGCTCACACAGGGCACATGTGCGTGCATGCCCCAAATAGTGAAAAAAGAATGAAGAAGAAGGGATTGTGGCATGGCCATTCCCTTGAGGGTTGATTTCTCACCCTCACTCTCTCTTTCTCTGTGTCTCTGGTGAGCACATGTGTCCTATAGCAAAAAATCTCTCTTAAAAAAAAAAAAAGTTCTGGGTCATCTTTGATGCAGAGACTGCATTATGATTAATCAATGCTGATTTCTGGTTTTAGTTTCTCTAAAGAGGCAGGAGAACAAGAAGGTACTTGCAAAGCAGTCTGCAGACAGTTTCTCATTTTTGAGGTTATTTTCCCCATCTGGCTAGAACTTTTCAAAGCTTCCCACCTGATTTTCAGACAGCAGCTCTCCTTTTTTGCACTCATATTTCATTAGTTTACATGTGGTTCTCGAAAGGTATTACAGAAATCTTAGGGACCCTGTTGACCCTTTCAGAAAACCGACAAGTCTAAGCTATTTCCTTGATCATACTAAGACATCATTTGCCCTTTACACTCTGATTTCCTTACACATGTATACATAGAGCTTTTTAGAGCCCTGGCCTAGTCTGACACCTAATGGAACACGTTCTAGGGCACTCTGTGCTTTTAAAAATCTCTCAGCTTTTGTTCCTAATATGATAAATATCTTTTGATGTATACCACATAAACAATAGCTCTAGGATCTTCAGAAAATTTGAAGAGTGTAAAGGAGTCTTGAGGAGACCAGCAGTTAGCATAATGGCTAGGTTGCTGGACTCCCATGTAGTTGAGCGCAGTTCGAGTCCCAGATCCAGTGGCTTAAAACCCACACCAGGCATGTGTGCGTGCATGCCCAAGATCCTGAGAGAAGAATGGAGGAGAAGGGATTGCGGCGTGGCCATCTCCCCTGGGGAATGATTTCCTCACTTTCTGTCTCTCTGTCTCTCTTTGTCTTTCTGGTACGTGCACGCGCCCTATAGAAAAAACCTCTCAAAAAAAAAAAAAAAAAGGAGTCTTGGGCTTAAACAATATGAAAACTGAGAGTTTATGTAATATTTAATTAAATCATACTTTCATAAAATCAAAAAGTGGCATAAAAAAAGCTTGACAACAAACAATTTACTGTGGTAAATACAGAATTGGCTGGAGGGCATTTTGAAGACTGGCCA